TGTGTCCAATATCGAAGTAGGAATGTTCTGGAGTATAAGGTTTTATGCAGTTTTTGCCACATCAGAGGCATAAACAGAGGGGGGGAAAAATGCCTTGAAAAAGTCAAAGTGCTAGAATGCAGTTTTTGCATAACCAGAAAGGAAAAAAAAGAAAACGCCATGAATAAGCCAAACATCTAGAATATCAGCTTTGTTGCTCATGTTAGATTTTTGCCAGCATTGCTATAGCAACTAACTCAAAGAAAAAGAAGAGATGGAGAATGCGGGCATCGATCCCGCTACCTCTCACATGCTAAGCGAGTGCTCTACCATTTGAGCTAATCCCCCAAATGCCTGGCTTTAAGGAGTTGAGTACCGGCAGTATATAGAGAATGATACAGAGGGGACGAACACAAGAAATGAAAATGTAATTAAAATCAGTTAATGAGGTTGCCACATGCAGCTGTTGCCATGAATCAAGGTATACAAAAAGTTCAAACGAACAGCCTTTCGCCCCCCAAAAACACTCTGCAATAAAATAAGGACTACTCGATTATGCGGATATTGATACTACCTGAAACATGCAAAGAGAGGGCTCTTTTATTAGAGATAATCCTCCAGATAGTGAGTGTCATAGCATATAGCTTGCAATCTTGCAGACATAACCAGAGGGAGGGAAAAATGCCTTGAAAAAGTCAAAGTGCTAGAATGCAGTTTTTGCATAACCAGAAAGGAAAAAAAAGAAAACGCCATGAATAAGCCAAACATCTAGAATGTCAGCTTTGTTGCTCATGTTAGATTTTTGCCAGCATTGCTATAGCAACTAACTCAAAGAAAAAGAAGAGATTGAGAATGTGGGCATCGATCCCGCTACCTCTCACATGCTAAGCGAGCACTCTACCATTTGAGCTAATCACCCAAATACCTGGAGAGCAGGCTGTTGTTTTTTGTTGTTGTTGTGTTTTCTGTGTACACTCCCGTATTTCACTAATTGAACCACTGCTTCTCCTAAATAGCGTTCCTTACATTGCTGATTCAGTTCTTCCTGAAGGATTTATTTCCTCATTTTCTTTGCTTGTTATTCTTTTTCTTCAGGGGAAAGGAGGTACTTGAGTAGAGACCTTGCATTGCTTCTTCCTGCTTATATCTTGTTCTTTTAATTGCATTTTCATTTCTTGTCTTCATCCCCTCTGTATCATTCTCTATATTCTGCCGGTACTCAACTGACTGAAGTCATCCATTTGGGGGATTAGCGCAAATGGAAGAGCGCTCGCTTAGCGTGTGAAAAGTAGCAAGATCTCTTCTTTTTCTTTGAGCTAGTTGCTATAGCAATGCTGAGAAAATCTAATATGAACAACAACGCTGACAATCTAGCACTTTGACCTTTTTCATTTTTTACCCTCTGGTTATGCCTCCGAGGTTGCAAAAATTGCATTCTCGCACATTGGCCTTTTCAAGGCTTTTTTCCCCATCTCTGGTTATGTCTCCAAGATTGCAAGCTATATGTTACGACTCTCACTATCTGGAGGATTATCTCTAATAAAAGAGCCCTCTCTTTGCATGTTTCAGGTAGTATCAATATCCGCATAATCGAGTAGTCCTTATTTTATTGCAGAGTGTTTTTTGGGGGCGAAAGGCTGTTCGTTTTAACTTTTTGTTTACCTTGATGTCATGGCAACAGCTGCATGTGGCGACCTCATTAACTGATTTTAATTACATTTTCATTTCTCGTGTTCATCCCCTCTGTATCATTCTCTATATACTGCCCGTACTCAACTTGTTGAAGCCAGGTGCTTGGGTTTAGCTCAAATGGTAGAGTGCTCGCCTGTGTTCTCCATTTTTTTCTTTTTCTTGTTAGCTAGTTGCTATAGCAATACTGGCAAAAAACTAACATGAACAACAAAGCTGACATTCTAGAACTTTGGCTTATTCAAGGCATATTTTTTTCTGGTTATGCCTCCAAGGTTGCAAAAACTGCATTCTCACACATTGGCTTTTTCAAGGCATTATTCTTTTTCCCTCCTCTGGTTGTGACTCTGAGATTGCAAGCAATACGCTGTGGTGCTCACTACATGTCTACTAACTCACTAACTATCCCAAATAAAAGAGCCCTCTCTTTGCAAGTTTCAGGTAGGATCAATATCTACATTGACGAGTGGTTCCTTATTTTATTGCAGAGTGTTCTTTTAGGTGTGAAAGGCTGAAGGCTGTTCGTTTGAACTTTTTATTTACCTTGATGTCATGGCAACAGCTGCAGGTTGCAAAAACTGTATTCTCGCACTTTAAGGCATTACCAGAGGGGGGAAAAAATGCCTTGAAAAAGCCAGAGGTTTAAAAAAATGCAGTATGCTCTACATGTAGAAATACTGATAAATCTTGTTACACAATAATTAAATTTAGATCAAATTCCACTAAGAAGGAGTATGAGATTAACCACTTAATCACCACAACGTATTCACGGGGGCGTGATGACGTAAGTACGTGCACACTGTAAGGGGAGGACGCGATGACTGGACAGAGGGTGAAGCCGAGAGGAATGGTGCGAAGTTGAGAGAGTGGCAAGTGTCCCATGAGAGTTTGTGAGTCTGTGACAACAAGAAGGCGCATTTCAAGGCACTGTGAAGCATAACAAAGAGATTATTCAATCGGGTGGAGGCATAAATATCAAACCTCCCACCAAGACTTTCTTAAACAATGTTGTTGGATTACGGGCGGCTATAAGAGAGACCCGACGCCGCCAACAAATCACTATCGGTGAGCAGCTGTAACCGGATTGGGTTCTCCTGCCTTAAACGAGGCTAATGGAATTCCAGCAGTGTGACAGAACCATCTGTCTGCTGGATTTTTGCCCGTTCGTCTGTTTGTCCCCCGTTCGTATGAATGGCTGGTTTCTATAGCCCAGCCATTCGAATGACTCTTTTTTTCCCGAACAAATCTGCCGAACGAACGGCCACCCAAGTGAGGAGTGTGCTGCTGGTTAACAAAGTGATCCCAATTAGAACGTTGTGGTTAACCGCAGACACTTCTCAATTAAACCGAACTCAGGGTGGTCGTCGTTCGTATGTCGACCACGAGGCAGCGGCCATTTTAAATCATGCGAACGCTCAGCGGTGTTTGGCTCTATTTCTATGGAACTGAAAACGGACACTTTTTCTGTCGAACACCGCTGAAACAAGGGAACGCCTGGCTGCCTCCACGAAAGCATGCGAACACCGGCCGTTCGGGAGATTGAGAGCATACAAAAGACTTAACCCAGATAGCCCTCCCATGGAGTCATTCGTATACCGAAAGACTGTAAGAACTTTGACTCCATGGCGATTGAACTATGTGTGTGGGATCTGAGCGCTATTCGCTAATAATATGCACTCAGATCCAGGCTATCTGGGGACATGTAATACTAACGGGAAATGTTCAGTTTTCATGTAGTTATGTATTTTTATGTCTTTTATTATTTTATGTTTAAGATGGCGACTGTCCTTGTCCTGGAGTTAATTGAGTTACTTGGTAATTAACTCCAGGGCAGAGGGGAGGGAATCAGAATGCACTGTGGGTAAAATATGTGACTGTGTGTCTGAAATGTCCTTCTATCTGTCTGTAGTTTAAGTCTCCCATTTGGTCCCCTAGGGGAGTGTCCACCAGGTGGGAGACCTGCATAAATACGGGCAGGTAGCCCACAGTAAAACCAGATCTTATTTGACCCTCAATGCGGAGCTTCTGTCTCGTTATTGGGGGGATTTCTTCTTCACGTTTAGAGACTGCTGGATGGAACGAAAGCCGCTTTGGGGATATTATTGTTCGACGGTTACCAGCAGTTCGTATATTGCCGTTCGGGAGTTTGGAGCCGTTCGTGGATTTCGATCGGGAGATTGCCGCTTCCCCTGCATTGGGTTCGTGTGTTACAGAGTAAGCGAACGGAGACTGTACTGCAGCCGGGGAAGGTTTACTAAACGGCGGTTTTGCCTAAAGACACGGGGAGGTGTCTTAACAAGCAGTATGAGTGAAGAACCACAAGAGGCTCATTTTTAAGGTACAAGAGGTCTGATAAAGTGGCTAATAGCAGGCACTAGGGACAAAAAGCCCAGAAACAAGAGAGAAGAAAAAAAGAAAGAGAAAAAGGGAAAAGAAAGGGGGAAAGTTAATGGATAAACAAAGGGAGGGAAATAAGTGAAAGGAATAGAGAAATATAATAAAACTATTCCTATTCTCTCTTGAAACATATGAACACTTCCATGTGTCTGTTTATAACAGATTTTTTTAATAGTTGGTTAAGAGACCGAGAGAGCATGTTTGTTTTACATTTGGTGTAAATATGATTTAACCCCTTAAGGACACATGACATGTCTGACATGTCATGATTCCCTTTTATTCCAGAAGTTTGCTCCTTAAGGGGTTAAAGAGATGGCGTCCAAAAAATGACATGAAAATAAAATGCCAACTAAAGCGGATAAAAAAGGTCAGAAACAGGAAAAAAGGTTCTCAGCCTTTTTTGTGTCACAGGAAACTCAAGAGAGTATGGAGAAATATGTGATTGAACCTTCACCGACAGGCTTTGCTACCTCCCCTACCAACTTGATAAAGATACTGTATCTCTCCCCATATTAAAAGCATGTTTAGATGAAGTCTCACTGGATATTAAAAAAGAACTGAATGAAAAGTTCCAAGATAAAAAAAAATGGAGGAGAGAGAAGAAGAAAGAGAACATCAGATAAGTGAGCTGAAAGAATCGCATAATAAGTTTATTTTAAAATACAAAGAGATTGAAGACAAGCTGTGTATGCTAGAAGATAGATCAAATCTAAGATTCAGAAATATTCCCGAAGAGATACTGGCAGGGCCGGACTGGGGATACAAAGCAGCCCTGGAAAAAAAATTTGTGCCAGCCCCATAAGTCACTGCGCCATATATTGTCGCGTGTAATATGTAAGGCTATGTCTTGCCAGGACAGATGATTGAGTAATATATATATATATATATATATATATATATATATATTGCTTTTTCTAATATAAAATATTGGTCCTTTCAGGGTAAAACGTTTAATTATACAGTAAGCATACGCACATGCAGACACAGGCAATTTCACTGACATTTCAGTGACACACACAAGCTCATTGATACACAGCCTCATAGACAAACAATCTTACTGATATACATCAGCTCATTGACATAAAAACACAAGCTCACTCACTAGCAGGCACACGCATGCAAGCAAGCTCACTCACTAGCAGACGCACACACACAGCTTAATGTGGTGGTACTGGTGTCTATAGCATGTCCCTACAGGCTTTTCAACGTAAACACTGTCTTTTCAGACAAAAGGCAGTGTTTAAATTGCTTCAAAGTGACACTGCTAGTGACAGTCACTCAGACGGTCACTAGAGGTGCTTCCTGTGTTAGAGCCCTCCCGCCCTCGCGCGCTGCTGAATGAGACTGGCGCCGGAATATGACGTCATATTCCGGCGCCGGTCTCATTCAGCTGCGTGCTGGGGAGCAGCCAGCCAGCGCAGCTCGCGCAGCTCCTTCAGCGGCCGCCAGGACAAGTCCGCCAGCGGCCGCCAAAAGACCTCCCCAGCGGCCAGGGGAGGGCTGGCAGCCTTAGGCCTGGGGGGCAAAACCAGTCAAGTAGACTGGTGCACCTGCCCAGGATCAGAGCCGGTGCAAGGATTTTTGCCGCCCTAGACAAAATAAAAATTTGCTGCCCCCACATGTCACATCACAATGCCCCACCCATATGATCTGCCATATGAACTAACGCCAGTGCTGCACACAGTGTGTGTTTACATTAAAAAGCCTGCAGGGACCAGCTATAGACACCAGAACCACTTCATTAAGCTATAGTGTCCTTTTAATGTGAGGTAAATTATAGATTAGTGTCACTAATAATATACTAGATTGCCTACTTACAAGCAGATGAGGATGATGATGGGCTGCAGTTTGGCTCCACTGGTCTGGTGTAGAACAGGATCTCTGGAGGCTGTTTGCAACTGTGGTGACAAAATTCAATGTTCTGGGAGAATTGGAAGCAGCTCAATTTTTTTGGGGCCCCTTACACAGCTCAAGGTCTGGGCCCCAGGGCCTGACGGTGAGTATGCCCATAAGGCCCATAAAGTCCACTTATATGTTCCACCCACCCATGAGTTCGCTCACAGGGAGTGGAGTGTGTAGGGGATGTGTTATGTGTTATTGTAGAGGATCTAATATGTGTGCTTATGGTATGTAGTGTTTAGGGTTACCAGTTTGTTCAGGTGATGCAGTGTGTTTGTGTGTAGTGGAAGCAGTGTGTATTTGTGTATAAGGGATGTATTATGTGTTTCTGGTTGTGTGTAAGGGATGCTTTGTGTGAATCTGTGTTTGTATGCATAAGGGATGCAAGGTGTGTGTCTGTATGTGTGTGCATGAGATGTATTGTGTTTCTGTGTGTATGTAAGAAAAGAAGTGTGTGTGTTTGCATGCGTGTGTACGGGTTTGCATTGTCTGTTTCTGTGTATGTGTGCAAAGGATGCATTGTCTTTGTGTGTAAGGGTTGCATTGTGTGTGTGTGTGTAATGGATGCATTGTGTGTTTCTCTGTGTGTAAGGGAAGTATGTTGTGTTTCTGTGTATGTATAGGGATG